ATCATTTAAGAAAATAAAATCGAAAAAAAAATTTTTTTCCCCGGCGATCAAGGGTGGTCTTCTCGCGGACCCTCTCTTAAGTTTCTTAGAAATCTGATAGAGATGTCAATAAAGAATATAATTATTGTTGTATCTTTTTTATGAAAGATAAATAGTTGAAGAGTTTGTTTGAGTTCAATTGATGAGACATATAAGGTTGAATATACTCGGTCGACCTAAAATAATTTCAATTGCCAGACATTACAGATGTTTATATGAAAAATAAATTGATTAACTTGTCTAGAAAATGATGTTAAACAAAAAATAAAATCAGTTGATGGAAATGTCAAATAGAAAATAAAATGTCAGTTTATAAAACAGTAACAACACGTTAATTTATATCTGGAGAACATTTGTTTTTTTCACCTGTTCCTCTAAAAAATCTTATTCTTGAATAAATAAATAATTAATAATGAATAACTTTAATTTTTTTTAAATTCTTATTTTTATTTAATTGGTATGAGAAAGTTCATAATGATTATTTTGTTTTTTTTTTGTTGTTGAGAATATTCGAATGTGATCATTTTATTTATATTTGTTTAAAAAAAAAGAATTTTTTTTTTGTTTTTCTTAATTTAGTTTATCATATCCAAGTGGTGAACACCGTAAATCAAGTTCAAAATCTAAAAATACATTTCGAAGTCCATCATTAAAACGTAGTCCAAGTCTTCGTTTTCGTAAATCTCAAAAATCTTCAATAACTCAACCAGCCCAAGCAATTCCTTCATTAAGTGGAACAAATTCTATTCCAAATAGTGGAAATGTAACATCACCTCGTCGTTCATTTGTTAAATCAATTGTAAAAAAAGGTCTTCGAACATTAAAATCGTCATCATCATTATTAACAAGTCAAATGAGTGGACAAATTTATGATGAATCAAGTGGAGAATCATTATCATCAACAACAGGTACATGTACACTTTCTCAAGGAATTAATTTTGGTATTGAATTAGAAGAATGTGAAATATCATCAATATCACGTTATATTCCAATTGTTGTCGAAATTTTAACACGTCTT